TATGAGTCGGAACTGACTCAATGGCAATTAACAAAATATTTCCAGATATATCTTTATTTAATCTTTTTCTATTTCGGCTCACGTTTGTTAGTTTAATTTATAAATTTTAGATGAAGATGTGTTAATTCTATAATTGTAATATTAACTTACTATTACAGCTCTTGTTTATGTATTCTTTTAAATTCCAGCATTTCTTATTTTATCTAATTCAATATAATTTTGAGATGGCTATATGTTGATGTTGGAACCAACTCCATGGCATAACAACAACATGTTGATGTGGCGATGTGGATTAATGCGCCAGACTACAAAGCCATTTGAACTGCAAGGTCGGTGGTTCAAGCTCACCAGTTGTTCCTTGGAAACCCTATATATGGTCACTATGGATCAGAACAGACTCAACGGCACTTAACAAAACATAGATTGTTGTTACTGTACCTAGCATAGACACAGTAAAATGTACATAAAATGTGATTGCGTTAAATTTACAACTTGACAACATTTTCTAGAGTATACACCCATGTAATCAACACATAGTTCACACTGTGTAACTGTTTCAGAACTCATGCCCCTTCCCAGACAATACCATTCTTCGTCTCCACTAGGAGAAACAAACAGTCTAAATTTTATCACCACAAATAAATTTTCTCCTTCTTTGATTTCATATGAATGGAATTATGCATTGAGATTGAAGTTGCTGCTTTCCTGTTTGTTTTTATTATCACTTTTACCTTATAACAATCTCCTCCAGGAATGATTTCTTGAATATACACCAGGGGACCTTCATTCCGGTTAATTCCTCCTAGGATCTTCAGACCAAGGTCTGTTTTCTTCATAACTTTAATCATCTGAAAGGCTTGATCACTAAGATAAAACAAATTAGCACTCACAGGTTAGCCCAGAGAGCTGTACCAATCTGCCTCTAAACTGCCTTTTAAATCAAATTCCTAGACACAGACAATCTCAAAATACTCAGTGCCTACTACCAGCTGTTTCACAGGAGAAAGATGAGGCTTTCTGCTCCCGTAAAGATTTACAGCCTCAGAAACCCTGTACAGGGTCACTATGAGTCGGAACCGACTCCATGGCACATA